TTCTCTCCATGAGCTTCAAGAGGTAGTCACCTGAAATGGTTTTCCAACAGTCTTGAAGGAGTTCCCAGAGGTGTTTAGCACTTGTTGGCCCCTTTGCCTTCACTCTGCGGTCCAGCTCACCCCAAACCATCTCGATTGGGTTCAGGTCCGGTGATTGTGGAGGCCAGGTCATCTGCCGCAGCACTCCATCACTCTCCTTCTTGGTCAAATAGCCCTTACACAGCCTGGAGGTGTGTTTGGGGTCATTGTCCTGTTGAAAAATAAATGATCGTCCAACTAAACGCAAACCGGATGGGATGGCATGTCGCTGCAGGATGCTGTGGTAGCCATGCTGGTTCAGTGTGCCTTCAATTTTGAATAAATCCCCAACAGTGTCAGCAGCAAAACACCCCCACACCATCACACCTCCTCCTCCATGCTTCACAGTGGGAACCAGGCATGTGGAATCCATCCGTTCACCTTTTCTGCATCTCACAAAGACACGGCGGTTGGAACCAAAGATCTCAAATTTGGACTCATCAGACCAAAGCACAGATTTCCACTGGTCTAATGTCCATTCCTTGTGTTTCTTGGCCCAAACAAATCTCTTCTGCTTGTTGCCTCTCCTTAGCAGTGGTTTCCTAGCAGCTATTTGACCATGAAGGCCTGATTCGCGCAGTCTCCTCTTAACAGTTGTTCTAGAGATGGGTCTGCTGCTAGAACTCTATGTGGCATTCATCTGGTCTCTGATCTGAGCTGCTGTTAACTTGCGATTTCTGAGGCTGGTGACTCGGATGAACTTATCCTCAGAAGCAGAGGTGACTCTTGGTCTTCCTTTCCTGGGTCGGTCCTCATGTGTGCCAGTTTAGTTGTAGCGCTTGATGGTTTTTGCGACTCCACTTGGGGACATGTTTAAAGTTTTTGCAATTTTCCGGACTGACTGACCTTCATTTCTTAAAGTAATGATGGCCACTCGTTTTTCTTTAGTTAGCTGATTGGTTCTTGCCATAATATGAATTTTAACAGTTGTCCAATAGGGCTGTCGGCTGTGTATTAACCTGACTTCTGCACAACACAACTGATGGTCCCAACCCCATTGATAAAGCAAGAAATTCCACTAATTAACCCTGATAAGGCACACCTGTGAAGTGGAAACCATTTCAGGTGACTACCTCTTGAAGCTCATGGAGAGAATGCCAAGAGTGTGCAAAGCAGTAATCAGAGCATAGGGTGGCTATTTTGAAGAAACTAGAATATAAAACATGTTTTCAGTTATTTCACCTTTTTTTGTTAAGTACATAACTCCACATGTGTTCATTCATAGTTTTGATGCCTTCAGTGAGAATCTACAATGTAAATAGTCATGAAAATAAAGAAAACGCATTCAATGAGAAGGTGTGTCCAAACTTTTGGCCTGTACTGTATATCAGTGTAGTATCAGTATAATATACAGTGAAGTTTCACAATATTTTGCGTGTTAATGATGTATCGATACAGGGATGCCAAGTATCAATTTTTTTTTTGTTACATGAATTATTACTATTGCAAATATAAATTGAACTTTTGGTAGCCTGCTAGAATAATAAAATCAGTTGCTTTGTCAGTCCACTAGATACATGTTGCTGCAATAAAAATGACTGAAGCGAGATGAAAAGACTGAAAACTTAATATTATTACGTAAAAACAGGTTTTGACAAAACAGTTGAAAAAAGGTAATAAATCCCAATATATCGCAGTATGTGGTATCGCAATACTTAACATTTAAAAATCACAATAATATTGTATCTTAACCTAAATATGGTGGTAATATTGTAACGGGAGACATGAAAGCAGAGGCAGAGGGGAAGACCTGCATCAAAGGGCCCAAGGGCTGCACTCGAGCCAATGCCGCTGTGACGAGTGTTCAGCCTTAATGGCTCTACTGGGACACCCCACTAATGACACTCTAATATAAAAAATATTAGGTTTACAAAATGAAGTCAAAATCATTTTGATTTTAAAGATGTACTTTTCAGGATTTTCTTTAGAAAAAAAGAATAAACTTATACAGAAGTAATCCTTCTCAAACATCACTTATGACACACTAGAAGTGTGTTAAAATGTATTTTCTGCAAAGACCCTGCCCTGCCTGTACTTTCTTACTTTCTTCTTATTTTCTGCGTTGGGGACATTTAAGGACGTATACACCCACAGCGTTGAGGTGAGGTCAGGGCTTTATTAAAAAGTCGCGACCAGGTGCCAGACCGTAAGCAGCAGGCATCCAAGAGACACAGGGCTGTCCTGTCAATAAAGGCAAAAAAAAGCCAATAAAAATAATCTTTAAAAAAAAAAAAAAGAGTGAATCTGGGGTTGGCTTTTACGTTCACTTTGGCTGGCAAGCTTGTTTCCAAACAGTAACCGACAATCCTGCATAGTACACCTTTTTAAGATTTACATTCTCAGTAGGGACCAATGAGCTTTGTGCTCAGTGCCACAGGCACAGAAGGTAAGTCATTGTGTTCAAGGGAAGTATTGAGGGACGGACCAACATGTTCCTGGGTTTGGTCCTTTCATGGGATTTGTTGACAGAGACCGACAAAAAAAAACACTGAAAAACACTGGACATATCCTCTGAGGTTTGTACTAGAAAACATTTTAACTTTATTTGTGGATACCAGTAGTTCTGCTCTCCCCACCTGAAAGGCTTATGAATAACAAAATAAGAACATTAAAATGAATGGTTTTGTAATTCATCTTAGTGTAGACAGGGAACACTGCTTGGAATACTTTTTATGCCCCTGCGCTGGTTGTTTGTCCGGCCAAGTCTCGTGAACACGATATCTTAAGAACGTATTGAGGGAAATTTGTCAAATTCGGCACAAATGTCTGGTTGGATTCAGCAATGAACTTAATAGATTTTAGTGGTCATAGGTCAAAGGTTAAGGTCATTGTGACCTTGTCTGATTCATTCTTGTAAATGCGACATCTCAAGAACACCTTGAGGAAATTATTTCAAATGTGGCACAAACATCTCCTGCCTCATTTCAACAATGAACTGATCAGAATATGGTGGTCAAAGGTCACTGTGACCTTGGGTCCCTCTCATTCTTGTGAACACAATATCTCAAGAAGGCTTGAGGGAATTTCCTCAAATTTGGCACAAACAACCACTTGGACTCAGGAATGAACCTATTAGAATTTAGTGATCAAAGGTCGAAGGTCACTGTGACCTCACCAAACGTCTTCTTGGCCATAACTCAAGATTTTGCTTAAATTATGACAAAATTTCACACAAATAATTAATAGGACAAAATGATGATGCAATGACATTTTTTATCCAAAAGGACAAAGGTCAACTTCAAAGTGACGACATAATGTTCTGCAAAAACACTTTTCTGGCCATTATTCAGTGTCATAACTCAGGAACAGAAGGGGAGAAATTTAGATACTGAATTGGTGATACTAATCATGGGTGTCCATCTTGAAACTGTGCTGATTGTATAGATCTTCTGTGCTGCTTGGTTGAAGATGTGTGTGAAGCATCCATGTTTTCACAGACATGACAGTAAACTGCAAGTGCAACTTGACTGGTTTGTAGAGGTATACAACTATAAGGGAGTAATTCTACATTCAATGTCTTTTCAAGATATTTTTATTTCTTCTAAATCGATGATAAATAACCATGACCGGACAAATACGGATGCTGGCATGTCTGTGTAGTGTAAGGACATCTGCAACTCATTTTAAATGTATTGGAAAACGTCTCTGTCTGTATGTGTGTGTATGTATGTGTACGTGTGTGTGTGTATGTGAATGTGAATGTGTGTGCACACTAGAGGACTGAGTCACGGCTAATGCCTGTCGTTGCCAGGCGACGGTGACATGTAGGTACATTGTTTTTATCACACTCGACCACACATACAGACTGCCCACACAAAGATACTAGACTGAAGTCTGTGCAGCCAAGCGCTGCATAAGCTAATAGCACCCAAAGGATTCACAGTGTTGAGGAGCTGAGCCATTAGTGGTTTGTTCTTGGTGGGGAGGGGGGCGGATAAGACTCACTTCCTGGTGGACAGGAAATTCAACTTCCTGTCTTGATTAATGGGGGGACTGTTGAATCACACAGGGGGCACTGAGGGGCCTCCTGCACACAGAGCTCCCACATTTCACCTTGAATGTCAACCTCCTTTTTTTTCTTTTACCAGAGAGTGCTTGAGAAAAAATCTTCTTTAGACTGTCTTGAAATGATGGAGATAAGATTCTGAACAGCTCATAGCAACATGTCAGCACATATTGTGACAGTGCTTGTTTATTTCTCTCCCCCTCCCCTAGTGTATGGGCGTATTTTGTTTGTGAATGCATGAGGGTCTGGATCCAGTAAAACTGGTGTTTCTCAACCTCAAGTCACCGGTCAGCAGTCATGTCAGGGCGAAGAATGTAAACAGAGAACAGACTCCTTTGAGCTGGTGGAATGCAGCAAGTGGCAGTGCACTCTGCAGTCACTCACTAATGGGATGTTAGACTTGTTACAAACCAGGGAACGCCAAGCGCGGGAGGGCTGACTGGCGAACCACTTTGCAATGCATTACACTGATGAGAAGTGTGAGAGGGGGCGTAGGTAGTGAGAGGGGAGGCAGGTCAGGGAGGGAGGAGGGGAGGGGAGGAGAATAGAGAGAGGTGTTTTTTAAGATTTCATGTTCTCCTCCAGCCCCCACAGTTTGCAGATAAAGGTTGCTGTTGCCAAGGTGACTTGACAGAGAAAAGGAAAGTATCTGGCTGTGTTTAGCCTGTTCTTGTGCAGGAAGCTTAGAAGCCAGAGGCAAAGATAAGATGATTTCAGTCCCTCCTCCACAGAACAAAAGCTGTACGCATGATATACTGCCTTAAATACCTCGGGACACTTTGGCTGCTGTATTCACTCTAAAGCTGCCTAAATATGCGAAACATGCCGTAATGAGAAAGCACCCTATGCTGCGCTGAAGCTGCTTTTCCTCTGAAAGACAAATGATCTCCATACTGAAGACAAAGATGCTTCACAGTCAAGAGGAAAAAACTCTTTATGTTTATTAGCCATGAATTTCACATTGTGAAAAAAATCACATGTACAAAATAATGCCATAAAAATAGAAATTAAACTTTTACATGACAAAAAACAAAAGAAACTGATGTGCATTGACAGTGTTTTCTGTCTAATTTACATCATTATGTGAAGCAAGACACTGCGCTCCAATCTGAGCCAGCTGGATTTCCACATAAAACAGGATAAGCGGAGGGCAAGAGTAGAAATGGGAAATGCCACTCAGCAATTAGGTGCAAATTGAAGGGGCATTCATTACTTGTTGTTGCCAGGGAAACTTGCATTCTGTGGGAAAGAAAAGCTCCTATCTGATTGGTGGGGCCAGAAGCTCTGTGTTCAGTGGTTGGAGGAGGTCAACATTATGGAGCCCCCAAGGGTCTCCATTGAAGTCCTCAAATAGCCAATAAAAGGATGAACTTTTGGGTGGCTTAAGGAACTGAGCAGGAATTTACAGAGCTGTTTACCAATTGATCCCCACATATCTGTTTCATAAATCCACAAAGGAGGACATTTGAAAAAATATATACATATTTCACCAAAACATCACCTCTTACATTGAAATTCAATGATACCATTAATATTCAATTGTAAAACGTCAATGTTCAGGTCACAGAGACAGACACACAGACAAAAACACTGATTAGAGTTACCAAGTATTTATTATGCAAGTGTTTAGCCTCGTTTCCACCAAGCAGTCCGCTTCAGTTGAATTTGTTACACTGATCCAATACTAAAAGGTGGAGCTAGAAACACTGTCCAGCTGGCCGCCAGCTTTGTTAGACATTGATAATTGGTTGAATTTAGGTTGTGAAGTCAGGTGGCCAAAATTCAATATCAGCAAGTCTATTGCCAATGTTAGTTTGACATAGAGTAGTGTGGACAGATGATATTTTGTTGTTTTTAAGTTGCGTTCTTTTGTAACCAAAATCCAGTGTCTTCAAAACGTTTCATGCCAATGTCACCTTGACATAAAATAAGGACATTTAATTGTGAAGTATGGACAACAAACCCTAATGTCTGTAAATGTCATTACGTTAACGTGAGACATTTACATTATCATCAACCCAATTTTCTGATGTCATATTGACACCTGGTGACATCAGAGGGTGCAGTCCATTGATTTAAGAGAGAATTGTCACTCTTGGTCTTCAATGCACAAACCCGCTGTCTTTAAATATCCAATCGACTGTGACTGTAAACACTCCAGCCTGTTATTTTTCTTTTTTAAAATGTTGGCATGCAACTCTATTCCATGGACGATCAGGAAGGTGCAGACTTTCCTCTGCATCGCCTGAGAAGAGGAAATACAGAGCTGGTTGGAGCACTGACGCAGCTATTACTATTGTGTAACAACCCCACCTACATTTAAGAGTAGCCTCTGCGGTGGAAACACTAAACAGACCTAGGATTTAGGTACATGTCTGCACAGGTTACATACTGGTTCTTAGGGTACTGTACCGAAAGTGTTTGGTGGAAACGCGGTGTTAAGACATTCTTTCTTTTTGGTCTTTAGGAACTTGCAATGTTTTTTTTCTTCTATTTTTTGTGCATCATTGACACTATGGTGAAAAGCACTGCGGTGTCTGCCCTTATCAATGCACAGCTTACCGGATTCAACTCTCTCTCAACCTAATGGTGAAGAAGACTGAGTTTAAGCCCCAAAGAAGAGCCAAGTTAGCACATGTGACAGTCCTCCAGCTGTCTCAAGGACAGCTGCAAAGACTGTCGCATTCTTTAACCATGTCAGGGTTAGTTACTGGGTCACACACTGCACCATTTGTAGCAGCCTTATCTGTTTTATAGTTTATATATCTTCTTGTTTTGTTGGTACAGGTTGGGCCCCAATGGGACCATTTAAGACAAGTTTGGACCCTGGTTAGAGCTTAAACCTAACAGAAGTAAAAAATGAAAACCCCATTCAGTCTTCTTATTTGGGCAGTGACCCTGTGGCCTAAACTGCGTCACACCATCAGTAATGTGAGACATTCTCCCTCTCCCATCCACACTCTGTGTCTCTTTTCAAAGAAGTTCCTCCTGGGAAAGACTGAATTGTGCAAAATGCAGCCCAACTGAGATCAAATAAAACACAAACACCTGGCCATGCATGACATAACCTGAACATACATTCACATAAGAATGCAGGCAGAGAAGAAATAAATAGGATTAAACATATTAACATAACAGAGTAATCATTGTCATATAAATTAAGACTACATTGCAGTGAGTTTAAAAAGAAACAGATTAATTCTCAGTTTAGGTTAAGGTGACAAGATTTCTGGGACCACAGAGAAGAGTTCATGCCAGTTTTACTGAATCACTATGAGTGGACATGCTCTAGAAAGGGTTCAGCTATGACTCAGCAAGCGAACTGCCGCTTTCATCAGAACATCAGAAGCACAGACGGTCTTTTACAGCAATAAGTGTACAGCTGAATGTGACAGTGTTCTTTCTGAAGCGCTGAATCCAAACACTGAATACCACCCCTGTGTACAGTGGGCCAGTTAACCAGCGCTCAACGTATAGCTGCGAAACAGCAAACATGTAAGGTCGTGACCCCGAGGCACCTTGACCCCCGTCGTGCATGCACAGATCCCCTCCGTCCTCCTCAACCTCAGCTGGTGTTGGTCGTCAACACCTGGTGGCTTGCAGTGACAGCAAACTGCTTCATAAGAGGAACACTAGGGAGGTTTGTTTGTGTCAGTGCTGTTAGAAGCATGTCTTTGAAAGAAGAAGAAAAAACATACAAGGGGCCAAACAAAAGAGCTTATTAGAGAAGAGAAGGGGGAGATTTGCTCCTTCATTGTGCCTTTTATAAATCAGTTATATTCAGTCGAACTGTTCTTTAGCACACCAATCATTGCATTCTCCCTCCCTCAGTCTAAATAGAACATCCATCATGCTATACAGTGCAGCCTTGATGAAAAGAGCATTTTTTTCTTCTTTTTTTATCACAGAGAAAAACATCAATACAGATCCTCACAAGCCTGTCAAGACTAAATGGGGGAAAATACAGGTTGTGTGATATGTTTGCAGTCCTCTTATGGCAGCATGAAAGCACGAGCCTGATATGACTGATGTACACAAGGTTGGAAGTTTGTACCTCACATAACAAGCAGCAGTTTGTTTGGTTTGTTTGCGTGAACTACTGCACCGCACGCCTCAGCTTCTGTCTCAGAAACCAGAGATGCCGTCATTCCAGTAAAGTGTCCAGCTTTGTCCAGTTTCTGCTTTCTGCATCTTTGCAACATCAAGATGAATGCGGGTGTCTGTACATCACTGCTCAGTGTCTCTTTTAAAGGAAGATAATGTGTGCTTGTTCACAGTTGGAGTCCAGTAGATGATGCAAAATAGGGAAATCTGAGGGAGACAAAAGAATAACTCGTTAAACGGGTATATAAGATGCCTGAGAGCAAAAAACGCTAAACAGTTTAAAGGTGACTTTTTAATTATTCAAAGTACAAAGTAGGCCCGAAAACAGATAATTATGCATATCTAGGAAAACAAGGCTCAGGCATAAAGATCGTGGATAACCTCACAACCCTCTTCAAGTTTTAGTTCCTGCTTTCTTACTTTTCATTGTAAAAGTATTGCCCTTGTATCCACTCTGTATCTCCTGCTAGACTAATACATTTGTTGAATCCACCTACTCTGTTTCCTCAGCGCAGTCCTTCGCCAAACTTCTTATCGCACCCTCAGCCCACTACACTTTGCACATCTGAATGTGTTTTACTCTCAGAATTTCACCCTGACCTTTCCGTTTTTAAAGCTGAATATGTACTTATCGGTACGGCATGGAGTCCTACAAGCTTGGCAGCCCTCTATAGGTCCAATGTGAAAGTATTATCATCAGCTTTCTCTGTTTGGACGTGGGTCCTTTCCCTTGCTGTTGCTGCCAGAGGACGTACTTGTGATGAGTGAGTAAGTAAACCTTGAAGAGCACTTTCCACCCAGTAGCAGTTTGGGTAGGATATAAATGTTTTGTTGCTGTTGAAGCCTAGATCTGCCTTGAGTTTACAATGATCATCACTTATAACTTTACCTGAAATCCAGAAACCTGGCTAAGCACTGGATTCCAGTTACTATAATGTTAGCATTTACCTAAATGCATGTATGAATTTATTTATCACTCTCTCTCTCACACTTACACTTTGCAAACATTACAGAAAATGTTTTTAGGGAACAGTTTGGCATTTTGGGAAATGCGATAATTCGATTCTAGCCGAGATTTAGATGAAAAGATTGATACCACTCTCATGTTCGTACCTTAAATATGAAGCGACAGCCAGCAGTCGGATAACTTAGCATAAAGACGGGAAATAAGCATGTATGTTTCAAGAGAACTGGATGCAATGTGGAGGCAAGTCTACGTTCATTCCTATGAAAGTTGCTCAGTGGTGCATGAAGCATAAAAAGGTCCACTTCCTGGATGTAAAACTACCAAGATCTTCCGCATCATTGGGCCCAAACTTTGCCAGCCGAGCAGGTAACCTCTGCCAGTCAAAGTGGCTACTTCCAGTTTAGCGCTCCGTTAACTTGAATGTGGGTAAAATTATTTAAATGTGCAGCTCTGCTAGACTTTCCAAGTGTTACCTGACCAAACTGATTAAATCCCGATAGTGAAAGAAGTAATTTTGGACTGTAGTGACACACAAAAAAAACGTTTCTTTCTCAGTGTACGTCTATGGGAAAATGATTTTTTGGGCCAAATGGCATTACAAGATGGACCTGAACATTGGGGTTGAAAAATAAAGCCAACCCTCAAGTGCCAAAAACTGCAGTTCCTTGAATGGCCACTTGAGGCTGGCTCCAAAAGCCAGTCAATCCCCATCGACCCTCATGTTAAAATGGTACAAAAAACTGTTTTGATCTCTATAGCTAATTTCTCCATTCATTACGCATAATTTAAGACGTGGCTGCTTTGAGTGACAGGCTGCGAGACATCATCTTGGGTTCCCAATCCGATCCACCCCTCCCTCCACCAAATATGGTCATTTCTGGCTCCAAATAGTGACATCCTAAATGCAGAACTTGAGTCTTTGAAACGGGAGTCCACAAACCAGTGGTGACGTCATGGTAGCTACGTCCATTATTTTAATGATTTTGGGGGGGGGGGGGGTAACTGGATGTTGGCTGCAGGTTCATATTTAGCTGCTGTCAGAGTTGTATTGATCTTCTCAGCAAGAAAGCAAATAATCAAATTTACCAAAATGTCAAATTAACCCCATAACACTGAGCACGTCATAGACTATACTTTATTCTTTTAACTGGAAACCATTTATACTGCCATGGGAACTGGAAACCAAATGAGGCTGATCAGGTTACTTCAGTGTATGTAATGACTGACTCATTTGTTGTGATGCCACATTTAGTCACATTCCCGGATTATCTGCAAAACATACTTTATGTGGTCATGCTGTATTGATATGGGGATATTACACACATACTTGTAATTGTTATATTCTTATACAGCTTAACAGTTACATTTCCTTGATGGCCTCGATGCTGCATCTCAGTTCAATTTCTTAGACCATTCTAGCTGAGTAAAATACAACAATGAATGTCTGTATTTGATTTATGTTACTTTTTTGTGTGTAAGAACCTTGTAAATATCTAAAATCACCAAAAGTCATCCTGAAAATATGGCTACATTTTCAGCATAAAGGAAGTCAGTCAAAACTACTGCAATATTTGATTTTGTCAGTACCATTCATCTCTACTAAAAGCTTTCCAAGGGAAAAAAATCTAAAAAGAAGGAACCTCAGACAAGTCAGAATTGTTCCCTTGGGAAAAACTGAGAGAGAACTTCTTCTTTCTCTCACAGCTACAGTCTCCTTCTGTGAGGTCTAACATACTTCCTTCCCTTTCATTCCTAAATAGTCAGCCTTCTTTTCCATTCCTCCACATTTCGTCTTTTCACCGTGTTCAGTGAGTAGACTGTCAGTTGCCATGACAGGCAGGCGCACCAAAAAACAAATTCTGTATTAAATTAGTGGCAGGATTATATCCTTCACTGAGCACTGTGTTACATTGGCTTAGAGATAGTTCAAACCTTCAGTCTAGTCCTTCCTTTTCAGAGATGAGTCACTGAAAAGAAAGCGAATAATAAGTCTTAACAAATATTTCATCCTGCTGAGAGGACGAACATCACAGTACCGCAGCAGTGAAGCTGCTCTGAGCTGCTTCCTGGCATTATCAAATGGGAAACTGTGCTCTGCTGGACAGCTGGGGAGTCACTCTACTTCTCTCCTTGGCTTTCTCAAGAGCTGAGGGCCCACAGCCATTTCAATAAATACAGCAAAATGAAAAGGACTGCCTGCATGGGTATGTGTGGGGGCATCAGTGTAGGGTGTAGCAATTGTGTGATGTGATGTGATGGTGAGCTTGCAGTGGGCAGAAAGATCAGCTTTGCTGACTACCCATGCTCCACATACGTCTGGCCTGTTTATCGTAAGAGCAGGAGAGCAGGGTTAGAATGAGGTAAAGAAGATATAGATGGAAGCAGAGGCCGAGTTCAACAGGAAGTTTTCAGAGCAAGACCACCACTATCAAGAATGATGTGTGTCTGACTGCACAGAGGGGTAGGGGGGTTGGTGCGGGTGGGAATCCTCTCTAGCCCTACAACTCTCCCTCCTCACTTCCCCTGCTGCCACTTCTCTCAGCCACCTCCACTTGTGACTCGTGATGAATGGTTTCCGACACTGCGTGAGTTGCTGGCTGCCTTCCCTCTCACCCTGCGTAAAGACCATAACCTCGTCAAAGGAAGGCGACTGAGAGTGGATTAGCCTCGCCGGGGTGTTGTAGCCTGCTGGTGTGTGGCTTGTCTAATTGGCAAACCCCCACAGGAGCAATAAAAGTATCCTATTCTCTTTCAATTACCCTCTCTGTCCTTCAGCCCATCCCCACAGCCACATAACTCACTTAACTAACACACACAAGCCCCTATCACCCCCCCCCCACCAATACCACCCTACCCTCCCTCCTCTGTTCTTCTGAGAAGACTCTACTTATCCTGCCAGTATTTGTCTTACTCTGAAAATCTGAAAGTCTGAGACTCCACAAATACGTATCAGAACCAGATCAATACTTTGTATCACAGATTGTCAGTATGGTCATAAAGTATGTTGACAGATTTGCAAATATAAATTGCAGTACATTATGTTTTATCGGTTGCATTTTCTATATTTCTTAACCTCTTTATCTCTGTATCTTTGCCAGATTTTGAAGCATCACTGCCAAAATGATTTTATGTGAAGTGCCTGTGTGAAAATGGAATGTCAGCCAATTAACAGTTATATATATATATATATATATATATATATATGTGTGTGTGTGTGTGTGTGTGTGTTAAACTTGCCAAAAATAATCAAATACCCGATATGGCATTTCTCTCTTTCAGTGTTGTCAGGCTCACTATCAATCTTAATGCATTCTTTTTCCTTGTCAAAATCTGTTGCCTACATTACCCACAGTGCAACCTGACTGCCAACAGTTTGGTCAGGCATTTGAACATGTTATGCTAGTGTCAACTATTTTTGCCTTGAGCTGTGCACCTCAAGCAGAGATCAGGAGCAGGTTACAGAGGGAGATTTTTTTCATTTTCAAACATCGCTGCAATGATTAGTTGATTAGTCGATTAGTCGATCAAAAGGAAGTTGAATGCAACTATTTTAATATTTGATTAATCGTTTCAGTCATTTTTTAAGCAAACATTAGCTGGTTCCTGCTTCTTAAATGTGAGAATTTGCTGCTTTTCTTTCTCATTTATGATAGTAAATGAAGAGTCTTTGGGATTTGGACTGTTTGTGGATAAAAGAAGCAAACTGAAGAAGTCACTATGGGTTCTGGGAAATTATGATAAGCATATTTGAAAATTTTTTTGACATTTCATAGACTACACAATTAATTGATTAACTGAAAAAAATCAGCAGATTAATCTGATTAAAAAATAAATTGGTCGCAGCCTTATTTTCAAACTTGTAGTCTTAATTCCCAACTTTGTACAACTTCTTCCACATATGCAGTAGACCTGAAAACGGACTTCGATGTGTAAAATCGTAAAATCGGTGGAGTTCCCCTTATAAAGAGACATGAGAGGTCAAACCTACCTCATGGAAAGTGTGTAGGTAGAAGGTTTGGGGCTCAAGCAGGCAAATGTTTCCAGGTGCTGACGAAAGCAGTAGGAATGAGCGAGTATGGCACAGTAGTGATGCTGTTCCAAGCATCCAGTGTGGGGTCATAGCAGTCAAGAGTTTTACACCGCTGCGTGCCAAAGTACCCGCCAACCACATACAGTTTGTTCCCCGACGCCACAGCCTGGCAGCTCATTCGCTTGGCTGTCACATCCCCCACTTTAGTCCACTGGTAGCTCTCGCTGCTGAACTTATAAGCTGAGCATGCTGAGAACTCTGTATCCCCGCCCATGACAAAGATCTGGTTTCCCAGCACAGCAGCGGCTGTGTAGCGCCACGGCTGCGGGCAGGATGCGGGCACAGACCATCGGTTCTCCTGCGGATCATAGCACTGCACCTTCGGCAGCTTGTCGTGGGTCACACTGGTTCCTCCAAATGCAAAGAGCTTGAGCTTGACGCTGACCACTGCTGCATTGCTCACACCCTCTCTCAAAGGAGCCACCATGGTCCACTTGTTTGCCACTGGGTCAAACTGCTCCACCTGTTTGAGTGATACAGACGGAGAGGCTGGGAGGCAGCCAGTTGCTGCTGTGTGACCTCCTACCACGTAGAGGCAGTGTTTCAGCTCCGCAGAGCCATGGCCAAACCTGGCAATAAGCATGGGTGCCGCCTTCGACCATTCCTCGTGGACGGTGTCATAGACCCACACATCTTTGGACACACCATTCTCTGAGCCTCTCCCACCAGTGATGTATACCTTACAGCCGATAGCGCAGGCGCTGAACTCCTTCCTGGGACTGGGAATGTCGGCCTTGGGGATGATCTCTTTGGCTTTCTGGTCCACCAGGTACAACTTGTCACACATGAACGTCTGCCCTCCCAGCAGAAAGAGGGCATGGCTGGTCTTTCTTGGCCGAGCACATGGGCTGTTAACGACGCCATCATTCTGCAGGATCTTCAGCTTACAACGGATAGCTTCATCCACCAGTTCCTTGCTCTTGGGTTGGGCGTTGATCAGCTCTTCGGTAGAAACATTCTCCATCAGAAAGATGGCAGGCAGCAGGGCCAGACGGACCGTTCTCAGGAGCTCTGGAAGGTGGCAGTGCCTCTTTTCCAGGTCATAGTTGATCCAGTTAAGGGCAGCTTCATAAACCAGTCTCTCATCTTCTGTCTCTAGCTCCTCATGTGACAAAAGCTGCACCACCATATCTTTGGGCAGTTGGAGGAAGTCCTCTGTCTTGCAAATAGCTGGAAAGTTGCTGAGGCACATACCCCAGGAGAGCTCTGACAGCTTGGTGCACTGGTGAGCATCAGACAGCAACAGCATGCCAAGGCAGTTAGATGGGTGAAGGTTTCTCTCCAGGAATTCAGCACAAGCATCCCGGATGTCCTGAAACTCCAGCATGTCCCCAGCCTCCAAAAGCGACTCTGCGTTCTCCTCGTTAATGACTACACGTGACGAGTACGCGTAATCCAGCAGGAGCTCTAAAACCTCGGGGTGGATGGAGTCACGGAAGTCGACCTCGCTAGCCTGGCTCTCCCTCAGTCCGCCACTGAACATGGCCTCAAAGTAACGGCTGCAGGCGGCCAGCACGGCACGATGGCAGGGGAAGGAGCGGCTACCGGCATGAAGCAGGACATCTGTGAAAAGCCGTTGCTGTCGCAGTGAGTTGAGGTGCATGAGGACGCTGTCAGCATAGGAGGACTTGTGGAACAGGTAGATGTTCATTGAGCCAGTGCTGGCTCGTGATTTCCGGTTCTCATGGACGCACACGGACATTTTCATTGAATCCTGAAAAAGAAAAGACAAGAAGAGTCTCTTTTTAATGCATTTCAAATTGAAAGTCCATCATTATACAAGGTTCTGCAATGTTTCGTAGAGGAAACAGTCGGTGAGTCACAGTGCAGGTGGATTTTTGTTTATGCATTTTTGTCTTCTAATTTGCATCCATGAGTGATTCATGGTGTATTTCAGTCCATAAATTCATAATCATCTACAACATTTTTCTGCTTGAAGTTCCTAACATCATAAAGCTGAGACAGCCATCAAAAGAGGCATTCTCACTGTGACTCAAAGTGAACAGCCCAATCCCCCCCTCAACATCAACTAAAGAATTTCAAATAGTTTTGAAATTCAATAAAAGGGTGCCTTTGATGTGCCAGTAAGACAAGAGAAAGGTCCTCTATTAAAAAATGACTCAATTATATCTGCTAGTTAGAGAACATTTTGTGAGAAGACCCAAGAGTTAAGCATCATAGTAATGAGCTTCCTGTAAAGAGGAGGCAGGCTTCCAGCCTGTTGCTGTCAAGACAGTATAAGGAAAGAAATTAGGTCATTACTGTTACAAGATTTTATCTTCTATCATTTAATACATCTAAATTAAATGAAGACAAAGTAATATGGTGTGCCTGATGGTTTGCTTTTTAAAAGGACAGTTAACCCCAAAATCAAAAATACATATTTTTCCTTGTTCCTGTAGTGCTATTTATCAGTCTAGATTGTTTCGGTGTGAGTTGCTGAGTGTTGGAGATAATGGCCGTAGAGATGTCTCCCTTCTCTCCAGTATAATGAAACTAGATGACACTCGCGCCAAAAAATACCTTCAACAAAATCCAACAGCAATGTCTCTTTCCAGAAATCATGACCTGGTTAGTCAAGATAATCCACAGATCTTGTTGTGAGCAGTTTCACATAGAAACTTTTTTCTTCCTGCCAAACTACACCCCCCAAACCGTATCCCTGCACAGAAGGAAGCGTGTATCTACGCATTGACAAGAGGCTTGTGCTTGTGATAGTGCAAGATTTTCATGGCGTCCTTTGTGGCTGATCTGTAACGTTGGCTAGCTCAATGGTGCTAAGTGAGCCAGCAATAGATGCATGCTTCCTTTTGCACTGTAATACAATTGGCAGGTATAGTTCAGTGGAAAGAAAGTAGTTCCTACATGAAACTGCTCACAACAAGGTCTATTGATTATCTTGAGGAACCAGGTCATGATTTCTGGAAAGAGACATTGCTGTTATAATGTATTTTTTGGCACTTTGAGCAAGTGCCATCTAGTGTCATTAACCTGGAGAGAAGGCAGACATCTCTATAGGTGATATCTTCACACTCGGCAACTCACATCAGAACAATCTACATTGATATGTAGCACAACAGGAAAGAGGGGTGAATTGTCCCTTTAAATTGCATTCTCAGCCCAGACTACTGAATAGACAATCACTGTGATATTTTGCAGCTCTTGCATCCATAATATGATGAATGATGTGCATTTTTTAGTGAGACTGCAGTCCTTCCCAAGAGATAGAGAGACATTAAGCAAGAGATCCAGTGATTACAAGTTGCAAAACAGCATACGCCTGGGAGTTATGAAGGTCAAGTAGATAACAATTGTCTTCTCACAGAGACCACGAGGCTTTTCTGCTTTCAACCCCTAGCAGCACTAATCCCCCTCTTTTAAAGATACCATGATTTACAAGTAAGAGTCCCTTTGCAGGGCTCTTAAAGAAAACAGGAAAGAAAGAGACAGCAGGACTCTATTTAAGCCTCTGAGAAATGCACAGAATTTACTCCACACCCCTCCAGAAAGTCCCAGCTCCCATCTTCACTGTCCTTGCCCTGTCCTCGCTCAGAGCTCACATTCATTCCACCCAATTTCTCGACGTGTCAAGTGCCTCCTGCACTCTGTTTCCAGAGGTACTGAGACCCTGTCGGACCTAGAAAATCCACAGCTGTCAGAGTCTTTGACCAGACATTTTAGATTGGTCTCTCAAAAATAATTTAAGGAGTGATAGAAGACAGCTTTTAAGAGTAAACCTTGAGACCAATTTTATTTAATTAAACTAATTAAAGCTAAAATCTGTCTTTTGAGTATAAAAACATGAATGAATGGGTTGTAGCACGTTTGTAGTTTCTCTCACTGACAGCAAACAGCTGTGTATTTGTCTATATTTTTTGCGGGGAAGAACTATGAGCATTTTGATACTTTTTTCTTTTCCAACATGAAAGCTTGGCACAGTTGTAATCCATTGTAACTGACTGGAGTCCAGCTGACCACAGCAGCCATTGTTTCTCTGTCAGTGAGAATATGTTTTACAAATCTGCAGGTGGTGCATGTTTGATTCTCAAAAGAAAGATTTTGGTAAATTACCACTTCAAGACCTGAAGAGTTCAAAAGTTCCCCAGTGTCAAAAATGATTCCTCTACAACCAGAGACAAGACGACAGTTTCCATTTTCCTTAAGTTGCATCATCTGCAGTTTCATGAATAGACAATCAGGTGTGAACCCAGCTTATACAAATGAAAGTCCAATGTGGCTTTCTGATGAACTGTGTCACTCAAGCCTCAGGCTTCGACAGAACAGTATTGCTTCTTGTTAAAACTTCCCGAGACATGATTGAATTCCAGTTAAACTAACTCCCCAAACCAGCTGCTACCCAGACAACCAGGTTGGCTGTTTTGATGCAGCTGTCAATGGGGAAAACACAACCTGTGTGAGCATAAGGTATTTAAACGACTTGCACTGCGTTCCAAGCTAAGCCTTCAAAACAGGAAACTGAAACCAGATGAGAAAGCTTGCAAGGATGGGAGATAACCTACTGTCATGCTATGTGATCCACACTGAGTGGAAAATACTTATGCGACTGCTTCATAAACAAACTGTGTTAATTTGTTTTCAGGTACTTTTTGTTTCATGTTTTTAGCCATGTTAGCAACATGGATTGTTTGGAATTTAGTCCAGGAATTCATGGTGCCCAGAGGATGACCGTGATTCCTGGACTTTTTGTCTGGTGCCATCATGAGGTTACTGTTTGGGGGTTTGAATGAAGTATCTCAACAACTATTGTATGGATTGCCATTAAATTTAGTCCAGATATTCATGTCCTCCTCAGGATAAATTATCACTTTGATGATCCTCTAAATTTTCATATAGCACCATCGTCAGGTCAAATACATTGCTTTGTGACCAGATACTTGCTAAATTAATGAAATTCCCATCACCTTTTGTTGTAGGCCCACTTTGTGTTTAGCACTAATTAGCTAATCCGCTAACATGCTAAACTAAGATGATAAACATAGCTTAACATAAGAACATTTGCTGTGCCTGCTGTGCCTAAGTACAGCCTCACAGAGCTGCTAGCATGACTTGTCCTATTCTCAATGACATACTGTAGATAAATCTGCTAAAATAATGAAACTAAAACACTCATATCAATGTGACATGCCTGAAAGAACCAAAAGAATAAGCAGTCACTGTACACTCTTCGTAGTGTATTGAGAGGGGACCTTTATTAACTGTTACAAGGCTGAACAGCATGTTGGACACAGCTCGCTCTCTATTGCTTGCTACAGCACATTCAACAACAGATGAAGAAAGAGACTGGAGATGTTACACTGTAGCAAAGCTAAACATTTCAAGCATCAGCAATGTTACTTCCCAATTGAAAGCTTTATATTCTCGAAATAGCCTGGTCCCAGATAGCTTGCTGTTAGCAAATGACACGTATACTTTAGCATTGCTACAGAACACGGCCATGTCATGGCGGGTGTATTGCTTAGGACTCAAGAAGTGCAGTGTTAAGTGTGAACTTGTGATGAGCACTTCTTAAGCAAGCTGATCTGGAGGCCAAGCAATCGGCTCTTTCCGAACAGACACATTTTGAGCGGGTACTGCTGCAGTAATAATAATAGAAGGAAGACTATTATTTATCACAACTTGATTACATAGAAAACCAACCACAACCTTGGATCGACAGGATTTATTGCACTGACAAAACTGGCAACCCGTCATCTTGTGGCCTCTGGCTCAGCTATAATGAGAATATCTTTGCCTGCTCTTTTACCTGCACGTCACCTCCCACACACACACACAACACACACACACACACATACACACACATAGTGCTGATACTGCACCTCATGTTTTCTAATTGGACGTTGTAAGTGGCTTGATATGAATAAGTGGCTCTAATAAATCAGGCACTTTTCAGTCAGAGGTTTTGCAGATACTTATAATTAGCTTGTTAATATATATAATCTTCAGTAGTCCAGGTCTGAGGCACAGTAGCTGACAGGCAGATAAACACTTCAGTTAATTCGACCGGGACTCAGTAAACAGTTGATAACAAATCAATAGTTGTTTTTATTTTAGATAACACAGTGTGATAATTTTAGTAGGGATAGTGAAAATGCAATGGCTAAAATTAAAAAAAAAAAAAAATTAAAAAACAATTTTACATCACTGAAGGTGTTTTGCTTGCGTAATCCAAATTTTGCATTTAATCAAACAGTAAACAAAGTTGTCCTTAGATGAACGAGCTCACTCATACATACAGCGTATGCAGGAGAGCTGAACAAAGGGAAGTGCAGTAAACCGGATACTTATACTGTTTGCATATTTAAGGATAAAGCCTGGATTACCGACTGAACCTGCAGGTTCTGAAAACCACATGTTCATATATTTGTAATTTAAATGGAAATTTATTACAAGTTTGCTTGCCTCCACCATCTCTCCAGTAAGGATGTTTTATTTCTGTGTGGTAAACCTACTGAATCAAATAACAGCTTGGATGGTATCAGAGTTTAAAATGATAGCTCTTGTAGATTTTGTATTCCAGTTCACCTTGATTATAATAACCACTTTAGACTATTGGCTGTGTGTAATGTAAAAATGTTTTGTGCAAACTACCACAGATCCCTCTGGACATTAATCCAACACATGTAAACACAGATTATTGGGGAAAGATTACTGCAACCCATATAACTTTAATCTTGGTTGTTCACAGTAAACATGGTTACAGTGTGTGTAAAAAGATCCTGAGGGGAGCAAGCTGCTGTAAAATTCCTGACGACTGTCTGAAGCTTATTTTGCTAAAACAATGAATCAATCAGTCAATTGTCAGAAAATAAGTCAGTAATTTGATCATTGGATAACTGTCCTATTGATTTTATTCAACATTCACTGATTCCATCTTTTTAAACTTGAGGCTTTGCAGCTTATATTGGTCTGTGAATGTAGACTGAATAAAATCAAGCACGTTTTTCTCAACCATCGAGGAAAACTTAAAAACTTTTGACAACTATGAACCAGCTGGTTGTCACCGACTGTCAGTCTTATTTCTGCTCTAAATGAGAACAAACAAATGGTTTATGATCTTGCCTGAGGAAAGGTAATAAACACTTGGCTGCCTCCCCTGATTTACAGCGGATTTTTGAGTATCTGTTTTCTGATGCAGCAAGTAACTGACAATTTGTTTATGTGTACCTAAAGCTACAGTTGGTAACTTTCATAAAAACATTTGAAACTGTCACTATATTCACACAGCACTAAATGGCACGGATAACCTGTAAAAAAAAAAAAAAAAGTAAAAAAAGTCAATTATTTCTTTGCTGACTCTTAATGCCTTGCAGAGCTTCTAATGGCCTTACTGCATGTGAAAGAAAACAACCAATCCTCAGCTCTGAGTGGTTGTTTTGCTAGATTCTACCAAATGCCATTAGAGGAGGAGAAGCACATTTTCCCATTTTCTGTCTTAATCTGTTTATATGTGTCACAAGTTATTTTCATAAAAGTTACCAACTCTATAGCATCAGTAAGCTTGTGTGTTTACTTTGACTTCCACTGGAGATAATTAGGTTTTATGGTGAGAAGTTTGTTACATGACTGTTTATTTAACATAATGAAAGGTTATTTGAATATTTATTGTGAGTACAACTTCACTAAATCCATCAAATAAAAACAAGCAATCGACCAACTGTAGCTGAAACATTAATCTATGAATTGATAGACAGAAAAGTGATCAACTGTTTTAATAACTGATTACTCGTTTGATTGGTTTTCTTAACAAAGATAATTCCTCATTCCAACTTCTAGACTGTTGGTCAGACATAAGCAGTCTGAAGACATCTGTGTGTGCTGTTGGAAGTTGTCATGGGCCAATTGATAATAAATAAATAAATAAATAAATCACCCGATTAAGTGTTAATTGCTAATTAAATGTAGTTGCAGCCCTGAAACTAATTACTAATTAATAATAATAACTATTATCACTATTATTGTTATTTACAATCAGTGCTGATGGTAATGTAACTTGTCCTTGGTCTCGCAGCCTATTTTCTGTGCACTCACACCAGCGTGCCCTGAGAGGATGAAAATATGCCAGCAGTGTGAGAGTGAGCGCTTGGCTGGACGGCTGTGAGAGTTGTCATCCTCATCCCCTCCACAGAAAACAGATCCACAGGCACATGAACAGGAAAGCACATACATGCACACGCCGCCTCTGGACTCCATATCTGAGGCCTGGCTGGCTGCTGGTCTGTTTAAAATCATTGCCAGGTGTTCACAGTCAACCATAGACTCAGGAAGAGGGATTGGTGGGAGAGACTTCAAAAGTAAACACCAGGCTTATATGAGCCAGTTCTGTACATCTGCCACTTGGAAAGAAACAAGATGCAAAACAAGAGGACACAGCAGCAGATACTGCTCTGCATGTGTGCATCAATCTTGATCTCACCCCAGCTGTCCACACAAACACACACACACACACACACACAACAAACCAAAAGCTCTGCCACTTAGAAAATAGTTCTCATCACCAAGAAGAGTGTGTCACACCTGATGTCGCCTTTTAAACATGTAAAACATCTCGAGCATGCATGAGAATGCAGGGACAGGATGCCGAGGAGAGCACAAAGGACTGAGAGGAGATCTCATTAAAATAAAGAAATAGTGCAATCAGTATGCTGGGTAAATGATAATCTCACACAATACTGACATAATCAACAACATTATATCTATTAGTCTGTTTTCTGTTGCGCTTTTGTCAGCCACAGCGCCGGAGTTTCCTATCATCAGGTGATCAAAGAGACTCGCTGTTACAATCTAACAATCTGTTGATAAGCCATACTGCTAAATGTGATGTAAGGATGTGATTTATTATTAGATTTACCTCTTTGGGTGAAAGCAGGAGTTCAATTGTGTCCGCAGTATCCCTCGAACATGCCACTTCTGAAAGAGCCACGATGCAAGCCTTGCGCTCGGGGAGTGTAACAACTCCTTGGTTATTCCCGGTCAGGATGAGGCCGTTTCCCTCGGATAAAACACTACAATGATTTGCCTGCAAATTCCGGAAATTATCTATATAAAGGCGACGCATAAAATCAACGGGCTTTAACGTAAAGGATGAGATGTTTGGAGGCGTTCCTCCGGCGCTGCTGCTCTGTTCCTTTGTGACGGTCCTCCTCCTGCGCTCCCAGTCCTCTCTGGCTGAAATCAATGGGTGTGTTTACACTGAGAGAGAGGGGGAGGACCGCCACTGCGCGCAGGAAATGGAGAGAAAGACAGAGAGAATGCAAGGAGAGTTGGTCTCCCAAGGCAGGAGTTTCCTCCCTACACACACAAACACTTCACAATTTGATTTAGATCCTTATGGTTGAAGTACTTCCGTGAGCTTCTCCATTTTAAACTACTTTATATGCTTACCTCTTCTCCACTATATTTTAAAGGGAAATGTGGTGCTTTCTACTTCAGTACTACTACTTCACTATGCCTATTTGACAACTATAGTTACTAGTTACTCTCAAACAGTGGTGCATAAGAACTCAGATCCTTAATCTAAGTGTAAAATGTAAAATACTCCCTCACAAGCGACAGTCCTGTATTCAAATTCCTTGAAGTATTAGCAGCAAAAGTAGGCTACTAAAAGTATCAATTTAAAGGAGCAGTGTTCAGGATTTAGTGACATCTAGTGGTGAGGATTCTAGATTGCAACCAGCTGAAACTTTTCCAGTGTGCCAAGCATAAACTCTTTCTGTGTTCATTGTTCATGAGGTTTTACTGGGATCTTAATTATTTTCCTCTCATAAACAAACAGACCAGGTGATTAAAACGGGTATGAACAATGAATGAAGCAGTTTCATGTTAAAAATCGCTCAGTGCGTTTACATGCACAGTTAAGTGACTCTTCAGTTACAGTTTGACTAGGCCATTTAATTGGATTACTGTCCTTGTCCCATTGTACAAGCATGCAAGGGGAATCAATTTATTAACCAAAGTATATCCGACTATGCAACAATAAGTGGTGATGCACCCCCTTTTAGCTTGCTAGTATTGGACCTTTTTCCATTGACCTATTACGTCACAGACCAAACGTCATGGTTAGCTAGTGGCAAACTGGTACCATGGACATCTTTGGCTGTCCAGAATTGCACAATTCTGGATGTATATGTCGCCATGTTGTTTCCGGCTTCTTCTTCTGTTATGTATTAAATGCTTTTTGACTTGTGGGTCAAAGCCCAGGGCAGAAACTGCAGAGCATTTGTAGAGCTCCTAGGCCAGTTTGACCAGTTGACTGAATACACGCATGAGTAATACGACTCCCGATCGTATTTTCTTGGTGTGTTTGTTGAACTTTGAGAAATTCAATTTAGAACAATTTCAGTCAGACTAACATGTTAAAATGTATTTTAAAAGTCCAGTTTAAGTTGTACTAACACAATAAATCAGTTTTCTTAAATGTCATGTAAATGTACTCACAGGGGAGTAAAGAAACCAGAAAATATTCAAAATTAAGAATGTGGAATCAGAAAAGTTTGACTTTTTTGTAATTAAAAAAATACTCAAACCAATTATTTGATTATGAAATGAGTTGGTAATTAATTTACTAACTAACTGATTAATAGATTAAACGTTGCAGCTGTAGTGAGAGGCATTTACTGCTGTATCTGGTCAGGATTTTTTTATTTTAACCTGCTTTATATACAGTTTGGTAGTTTAGTGTGGTGGTTCCCAACCTAGGGGTCGGGCCCCTTCCAAAGGGTCACAAGATAACATTTAGGCAATGTTTGTCTAATGACTCAATCATATAGAAATATAACACTACCTGAGGCCATGCTGTAGGATGAGCACTTTTGGTTTTGACACACTTTAATTTTAATATTTATGGAATTTTACTAGAATATTGTATGCATAACTTTTATTTATAATGGAGTATGTTCTTGCTACTTTTACTGCATATGAAAACTCCTTCCACTACTGCTTTTTTGGAGGAAAGAAAATTAACATTATCTCATAGCTCATGTGTACACACTTGATATGAAATGCTGTGTGAAGTAGGTTTGTATATGTGATCATTATCATCCCCATTAATCTCCTTTCTTGTTATTCTTCTATGTGACTTTAAAGGTTGAATATGTGTCATCACTCTAACAACAAATCACAATAAAATTATCTACTCCAGTTTGACTGTTGTTTACACACTGTAAAAATCACTGGGCCAAATATAAAATTGACCCATTTTGGGTTAATGTACCACAGATGCAATTCTGGGTTAACTTCATCATGTAACCATGGATTGTTTTGACCCAGTGTTAGTGTTGTTTTAATGTTATCCTCGGGTCATCTACCCAAATGAAGAGTCTGGGGTTTTGACCATAAGCTCAAGTTTTACCTTAATTGTTACAAATTTATTTTCTGTTTTACAAAACTATGTTCATATGACATTCATAGGATATATGTAACAATCAGTAACAAATGATGTAAGTTTAAACACTTTAGAGTTTGCAACCATATCATATGTTTAGTTTGATACCCCACCCATAGTACAGAATAAGGCTAACACAGAATTGCATTTGATACATTTTGTTCCAATGATTTTTAGAGTGTAACTTTAGGGTTAGGCTGCATTTGTTATTCTTAATCCAGCTAAAAAAAAATATGAGGTAGATTTTAAATCAAAACATGGGATGGATGCATCACTATGGTACAGGAGGTGATGGTCACACTGTTATAGTCCAGGCTATCCAATTATTCCCAACAGGATCCAGCATTGTGATCAGGGTCCAAAAAAAACAACAGCGATACATTTGAAAACAATACCATGTAGAAAATACCATAAAGTTTGACTGAGTCACAGCAAACACACCACTTAACATCACAGGCACAGTATAAATCCTATAGGATTATAAAGACATTGTGGTTTTTGGTTGGGGTAGCTGGGAACAGGAAGTCCAATTATAACCCTGGACATCTTGTGTGAGTCACATCTGTGGTCCCTGTTGACGGGACTTTTGGCTGTGAGTAAATTCTTCACCAGACCCTCGAGGCTATAATGTTATTATTTTGTTTGTTTTCATGCACTCGTGTTGTGGTGATTAGAGCTGTTATGTACTCACATCTGCTTTCTTTTCCCATCAACTGTTTTTATGAGGACAGAAATTACACTATTACTGTAGCTTCATATCAAGGCTAGTACAGCAAAGTGTTCCTTAGAGAGGTGTGTTTTGTTGTGAAGGAAAACTCATTATGGCAGCAAATGTTTCATATATATGACAAGAGAGACATCTAGTGGGCAAAATGTTCCTGGGTCCAATAGTGCCAAAGACAGCACTTGAACAGACAGAGGAAAACAGACTAACACAGTTATGAGAATAAAAAGACACAGAAGATAGTCTATTTGATTATTAACCTTCTTGTCTGGTTGACATTAACTTTACTTCCTCATTGTCTGGGCTCTCACAGACACCACTGCTGTACTGTATGTGTGAAAATAACAATATCTGCAATTCAGCTCCTTTTTTTGTCTCTTTACTCCAACAAGTTTGATGAAGGTGACAAGGTGGCACTGTACTTCATAAGGGCATATATAATGTAACATGGGCTATGCATGAATTAACATATGATGTTTCCATAAAGTCAATTACAGACAAAGAAATACATGTTACGCTGATGTTTATTTGAGCACATTTTGAGTCACTATATTGTATTTGAAAATATGTTGAACCTTTTACTTAACCTGATTGAGCCATTTCTACCAATCGGTGTAGACACATAATGCAAAAAAATCCATATATATATATATATATATATATATATTATAAAATATTACAGTTTCAGAGGTTTACTGAGCAGAACTATGTACCTTATGTAATTATGTAACTTATTAAAATTGAACATATACAAAATTGAATATATATATAAAATATTTTAGAAAGCAAAAAGTCACACTTAAAAAAAATGTATATATACGCTGAAATAATTTTTAAGTGTGACTTTTTGCTTTCTAAAAACATGCCCTATCAAATGGTTCAATTGTCATTTTAAAGTAAAGGTAGTGAGGCTATGCTGATGTTATTAAAATTGACTATTTGTTACTCATTCATTGTTGTTAATATGATACATTTAATGTTTATAATTATAATATATATTTAATTCCAATATATATACAAAAATAATGTTATAAGTGTGTTTTTTTTACTGTCTTTAAACTAATCTACCAAACAGTTTGTTTGTAATTATATGGTAAAGGTGGTGATGATAAGATAATACATTCACAGTTAAATGTTAATTAAATGTTTTCATTCTTTTTTAAAATAAAACATATGAACAGTTATTGTTGTTCATCATTATTCCATTTTAGATAGATAGATACATAGATAGATAGATAGATAGATAGATAGATAGATAGATGTACTTAATGAGGTTCACCTGTTCAACTGCTTGTTAACACAGCCAATCACGTGGCAAGAACTCAATGCATTTAGTCATGTAGACATGGTCAAGACGACCTGCTGAATTTCAAACTGAGCATCAGAATTGTTGAGTATTTACTGGGATTTTCATATACAACCATCTCTAGGGTTTACAGAGGATGGTCAGTAAAAAAAGAAAATATCCAGTGAGCGTCAGTTCTCTGGGCCATAATGCCTTGTTGATGTCAGGGGTCAGAGGAGAATGGCCAGACTGGTTCAAGATGATAGAAAGGCAACAGTAACTCAAATAACAACTCTTTACAACCAAGGTATGCAGAAGACCATCTCTGATGAGGAGGTCGCCTCAACAAGCTCATTTTCTAAACCACTGCCCAGAACAGGAAAAAAAACTCAGATTTCTTGACAGAGCCAGAGGACACCTCTGACCTTAGTTCACCCTCAGGCCCAAACACAGGCACTGAGAGAATCTGGAATCTATTTTGATACTTTTACCATGAAGCAACGTCTCAACTGGTAAGTTGAGGGCTGCATTTAAAAAACTATAGGGTCTGTAAAAGAAAAAAACATTGACTCTTGTCATTGTGCCCTAACGAAATAAAAAATGTAAATAAAACAAATTCCTTTGCTTTTTTTTTGTCTTAGTGAGGACATAAAAGGTTTGCAAATGTTCTAAATCCCTGTTAGACTTCTTATGAACAAACTGTTTTCAAATTTTAATAAGAGAAACTCACTCATCATTTGGTCATTTTGGATTTTATAGGGGTCTTTTTTTATGTGATCAACTTTTTATG